CATTTTTCGCAAAATTTTCATTTTACGAAACATTTATAAAGATATTTATTTACGGTAATTTCTGCTATGCTGTAATATCTCTGAGACACACGGCAGCGTAGAAATTTCAGGTTAACAAAGCGTCAGAAGCGTATGCCCAGAAACAGACGTACCGAGATTCTAGGCGCTCATTGATTACGCTGGTATTTCTTTGTTTGCCAATCTCTTTTTGCTAGTTTAGGCTGTTGGTTTGACTGATTATCAAGTCGAATTTGGGAGGGGGAAGGGGTGCTTTAAGTTAAATCTTGACTTTGAAGAAACTGAGAAAAATTATATTCCATACCGAAAATTTGCAAACATTTCATTTTGCAGTAGTTATACGTCAATGAAAACGGTTTGGGGCAACTGCGTGTGCTAATTTAAGTGTTGAATTGCAGGGTGCACCATTGCTTGCTTTTGCACTGAGTGCATGGCAGTTTCAGCGACTACGATGGAAGAATAACCTTTTGCAGAAAATAGAAAACAGGAAAAAGCAGGATGTGGTACCGTTCCCGGATTACAAGTAACTATACAAATCTATGCCGCTTTATTCTATTTTTAGATCCATGCATGGTCACTGACTGCAGCAGGAAGACAGTGAATTCCTTTTCCCCTGCTATTACTTTGATTTCTGAATTAGATGTTTTTATCTTAATTTATACACCATAGTAAATTATTTTGTTACCACAATCGTCGTATTGACGCGAGGTCCAATTGTGGTAACGGTAAGAAATGTATACGACTTAATGGACCGAAACATTTCTTACCTATAACAAATATTTCCTTATACCCCTTACCTATCTTGATATCCTTTTCTTCTTTTCATTGTTTTCTTCTCCTTATATTCTCTTTTTAACGTTTAATGAAGATTTTCAATGCTTTATTCACCAATAAAAGCTTCACTTCAGTGGAATGAGCCGGGGCCTCGCACAAACTATTCAAGAGAAGGGGAAAATTAGTCGTATCAAGGCGGCCAGTTAATAGCTCTAGTCGTATCAAGGCGTGATGCGCGTTCAGTTCGAAACTCTGACCCGCAGAGTTTTCGGAAGGGGTTTATTAAGGGTAAATTAATGGAGGAAAAAGGAGGACAAAGGGAGTTAGTAAGTGGGGGAGGTATGTAAAGTGTAATTATTTGGAATATAGTAGAAGTGTTAGGAATTAGTGGGTGGATGGGAATAGGCCAAGTGATTAGGATTACGCTGTCATTACCCCTATTATACCGTTGATTTGCCATAAGTAATTTGTCATTTCGTAAATTGATGACCAATTCAATTTAGCATCCACTGCTGGAGCATTTGGTGCTATAACTGTTCGCGAGTTATTTCATACTTCAGTTTTAGCTGTTGCTTCATCGTAGTGCCGTCTGTCAAGCTGGTCTCCCGCGTGGTTACGCTTACGGAATCAGCATCAGCTATTGGTGATAGGCCTACTGAATGTTCTGGCGTTTTTTTCCTCTACTTCCACTGTTTCCGACTCTTTAATTATTGAGATGAAATTGTCTTTCATAAGTTGGGGAGAAAGAATTTTATGATTAGCTGCTGAGACCAGCGTGGTTACACTAATCAGCATCAGCTTTTGGTAAGAGGCCTCCTGGATGTTCTGGCATTTTTTCCTCTGTTTTTCTTATTTTCGACTCTTTATTGGGATGAAACTGTCTTTCATAAGTTGAGCAGAAAGAAGTTTATGATGAAAGAAATGATTATTATTTGCTTTTTCTAAAAATTATTAATTGCAACAGTTTCTAAAATTACTAATTGCTTGCAGCTTGGAGTTGTTGAATGATCTTGAATATGCGCGAGTAAGTGTGACTGGAGAGTTTCTTCACGACCGAGAATTTTACGTACAACCAAGATCACGCTTCGATGAAGGTGGGTGTGCAGCATTAACAGAGCAAGACAGTTTTCATAAGTCTTCTATAGGATGGAGGAACATAGATGATATAGTTTCAAGTTGAAAGTCGAAACCCTCTCCGCATTTCACTCTCGGTGAGAGACGAAGGCACTTAGGAAGTAGCCCGATTGGTAGCAAATGACAGCAGCAACCATCCATGGCAAGCCTGTCAATAGCTCTTTCCTCTGAGGTTACGAGCAAACTGATGACGGGTTTGACTCCCTGGCGTATGCCAGTATTAATTTACCATCGAAATGAATCGTAAAGAGATTGGTTGTCCCAGCGGCAAAGTCTAATCCTCGACCTACTGCACGACAATATCGCTACCCACTGCGTCACGCATGCCAGTACGGGGTTCAAAAAAAGTTTTTAAAAGAAATCCAAAATGAATTTGTCCATATTAACTTAAAGAGATCGATAATGCTCTACTGCTGGGTGGCACAATTTACACTTAGAATAGGCCACAACTGCACTTTGTGGTCTGATCCTCTATTATTTAATTG